CACTGACATGTCTGTGTTCTTTTTTCTCTCATGGCCAGGCTACTAGAAAGGGCAGACTACATTCGCAGCTCCACATTTACACCTTTGCAATCCCTTTCCTGGACCTCAACCTTCTGAAAGGCTCTTGATTGCTCCCAATCACCAAATCTAATGACTGGCTTGACCTGTGTCTGTCTCGAATCTTCTTCTTTTTCTTTCTTTTATAAATAAACTTTGTTTGTTTGTTTATTTATTTTATTGTAGCTTGACCAGAGAGGGAAAGAGGGAGAGTAAGCATGAGAGAGAGGAAGCAAGCCGCCAGGTCTGGGACTCGAACCGCAGTCAGCCATATGGGAGTCCAGCGCCCTTAACTACTGTGCCACCTGCCAGCCCCTGCATCTGTCTCAATTCTCCTGTGACACCTCAGAAGCAGTATAGTCCAAACAAAACTGAATATCCTTCTCTTTCTCCATTCCCGTAACTGCTGACTGCTTTCTCATTTCTCCCAGTTAAGCTAAAGCCCACTTATCAGTGCTCCAGTTTAGGTATTAAGTCCTCTCCCTTCTACCACTGTCATATCTGTATCACTTAGTTCCTTTTTCTCCATTTCCATGACGTGTCCTTCTCCCAACATGCATCAACACTCCGCACCAATCTCCTTCATAGATCCTCCAGGGCCTGACAAAGAAATTTCAAATATTTCAGCCTGAGAAGGAAGACCCTCTAAGAACTGGCCCTATCTTACAGTTCTAGGCTCTGTGGTTTTCCTTTCTTTTATTCCATTTCATATACTTCACATTTGCTCTGAACTCTGGGAGAATTCACAGTTCCCAGAACATGTCCTGTAGTTTCCTACCTGCATGCCTGAATTGGGGCAGTTCATTCGCTTGTAGTGTTCAAAATACTTGTTGAAATCCTGTCACTGTTTTCCAGATTTGGTAAAAGCACCATCTTTCTTCATTTCCTGTTAAGTGCAAGCTATTCATTCCTTCTCTAACATTCTATAGTGCCAGCATGCTCATCTGTTTCTTCCTTACTTACTGTTATATTCTGTCACATTAAGTTAGCTTATTGTCCCTATTAGATTTTGGTTTTGGAGACAGTGATGATGAAGATGATGGTGATAACAACGGCAATCATAATCACCACCACAAGGAGCTCCTACCACAGTCCAGCTTTGTGCAAAGCATATAACTTTATTATCTCAGCAACCCTATGAGGACGGTCTCCATTTTCAGATATGATTAAGTAATGCGCCTAAGGCCAATACCTAGGAAGTGCTATTGAATTTAGTAGTATTAAAATTGAATTTAGGCTTGTCTGATTTCAAAAGCCATGTTCTGAGCTACTATGTGGTTTTTCTCACCATCCACAGACTCAACAGATAACCTCTGAATAAAAAAATATGTTCCTCATCAGTCCTAAAAGGTAGAACAGTTTACTTAGCCAGATTCCCCAGAGTTGCAGAGCCTGCTTGGTCAACGCATATATCTACAAGGAGAAGAATTAGATAGCTTGGGCTCTCTTTAAAAAATGACTTAAAAAAACAAGACATGCTTTGTGCCTAGAGACTAAATAGAACATAAAATGCAAAGTGAGAGAAAAATCGAATTCACCTGGGTTAGGTAACAGTCTTACTTTGTCCTTTTTTTTGGAACCATCAATGTCAGTAAGGGAACGAATCAAGGCCATTCCAAAAGCCTTACTCGGATCACTTAAACCACATTTAGACAGAGCCTCCAATTCCAGTTTCTGAGGTTCTGACTTCAACCCTATGAAAATATGGTAATTGTACTCTGATGACAGTCACAATCATTGTAAATTTGGAGTCCTATTTTTACATATGAATGGGCAAATAATATATAGCACACACAAGTATCAATGCAAAGAAAGTAGTGACTGTTGCTCTCTATATTTAAGCAGCTAACAGCTGTAATCCTGGGAGAGGAATGTCATTATACAGCTCAAATCCCATCACAACAAATACCTTTACAACAGAGATGTCTGTATAACAAAAACCCTTTCAAGCTTTGGCTGACAGCCCACATACTTCAAGCAATATTTGATGTGAGACTTGGAGTTCACAGTAATGGGAATTGACCTGTATTTCCAAAGGTAAGATTTGAATGATTTCATCTGAAACTCCTATCCCATGATACCATGAGTTGCAGTGATGTACAACCAAAACCCACGAGTATAAAAACTACACACAAAGATAGAAATGAAATCAACTCAGCTTTTAAAAAGGGTGAAATTCTGACCTTTCACTTGAAGAACGCTTAGGTAAAGGAGGAGGCCTTGAACGCGATTCCTGAAATGGAGCAGACCAGGTTGCTCTGGGGTCTCATCTCACTGAGAGGCAAAACGATAGGGTGCATGAAGACTGTATTCAAATCTCTGTTCTGTCATGTGGGTAAACTGGGCTACACTTCTTAACTTTTGCAACCAATATCATGTACCTTCAGGATTTCGGTACGAAATCAATGAGAACACATGTAAAGTTCCTAATCCAGGGTCTGATCTAGTTATGGCATGTGCTCAAAAAAGTTCCCTCATCAGGCCTCCTTTTTACTCTAACCCCTGTGTTTCTGCAAACAATTTTTTTTGAGACCTTTTTGCTATAGGGCGCGTGCGCTTGCCAGAGAGACAGAAAGTGAGAAGTCACTCCCCGGGGGGATGGCCACGCTGCAATCCCTTCTCCTCCATTCTCCTCTCGGGATCTTGGGCACACACGCACACGTGCCCAGTGTGAGTTTAAGCCACCGGGTCTGGGACTTGAACTACGGTCAACTACATGGGAGTCCAGCGACATAGCCATTACGCTAACTGCTGGTCCCTCTGCAAACGATTTTTATGACATCAGTTATAAGACCTAGTAAATCAATGAACATATCATACAGTCCCTTGCATAGTCTGTTAAAGATGCTTCTCAGAGGAGCATTTGGGGGAAAGAGAGAAAATGGTGGAACGACTAGGCCATGCACAAGTACATACTAGACTGGGGAAAAGGTCTTTTTGGTCAAGGTAAAACTTGTATTCCAAAGCTAAGTGCGAGTATCTAGGTATCACTACAATAAATGAGCTCCGAACATCTTGTCAGAGGTCATTTTGAAAAATGCTGATGAGCCAAAATTTGGAGTCATATTTTCCAAGTCAAGGACGAATTTTGGTTATTGCTCAGAAGCAGTTGGCTGCCTCTGGCCTAGTTATCTATGGGTGCCATTCTAGATGGTGGGACAGATCTGATATGGTGACTCCTTAGCTCTAGGCCTGTGAGTATACTATGTCTCCTCAATAAGATAAAGGGGTAAAACAAATTCTAATCTCCATTTGGGAAACATGTAAGTACACAGTTTCTGAATATGTTTCATAAATATTCTCAATAATGCTTCTAGTTGTGAGGTTTTTAAGCATACTGATTTTTAGATATTTAATTTTCCACTTTTCAAATTAAGGGATAATTAAGTTTGTGGTATCAAAATTCTAGGTACTTTCTTAAGCAATCCTGATGTTTCACAACATTTTTTTGAGATAGAAAACTAGAGTTTTATAAACATAATCTGAAGGCATGTCTGTTTACCTTTACAAAATGAGTATTGGCTAGGAATTTAAAAAATCCTTAAAAGGCTCACGAAGTCCTATCAGACCTTGGCAACTATATAGAATAAGAGATGACTCTATAAGCCCGAGTCACAGAAAATAGGTCTTTAAGATTTCTCAGTCTTGTCTTTTCACATCACCAATAAGGAAAAGGCTCAAGAAAAGTCTATGCCAATGTTCATGTGTCCAACTAAAGTGTATATTCAAGTCAAACAATGAGATTTCAGGAGCTCTTGTGATAAGCAACATAGAATAAAGTAACAGGTCAGGCAGAAATACCAAGGCACAGAGAAAAAGAAACTGTGAGGCCCACAGACGATAGGGGAGCCCTGAGCAGAGAGATTGAGAGATCAAGAATAGAGAAAGAATAAAACGACTAAAGCGAGCAGGTTAAAATAGTGACAGAGACCCAGCAGTAGCAGCAGAGAAGATATTTTAAATTCTGTCTGCACAGAGCCTACAAAGTCAGACTCCAATACACAGAAGCATGAGTCCGGTACAACAGTTTCCGGCTTCTATTTTAATAACTGCACCCCCAACTCCCATCACCATCATCTTAAAATGGAGGCAGTAACATTCACCAGACTGTACACTTTAATTCTACCACTGAAAAGGGCGTAAACCTCTAGCATTTCTGAAAGTGTGTTAACTACCTCAGGCCACTAGGGTGCTGCTCCCTGCTCCAAAAGGCACACCCCACTTAAGGATCCCTACCTAGCACCCAAGAATGGATGTCCCTCCTAAAAGTGAGCCCTTCCTTCTTCACACCACTGGCCTCACACTAACTGTTCACAAGCATCGCAATGTCCCCGCAGGCTGTGGGACAGTGAAATGCAATTACAAGTATGTGGGCAATCCTGAGAAGGTAGAAGTAGAAAGAGCTCCTGACATGCAAGGCTGAGGAACTGCCACCCCGCCTCAGAAGAGCCAGTGCTGCCTAGAAAGTGACCTCGTGGGAACAATCACGCGCCTGAACAGTGACAAGGGCTGCTCTCCGCCCGCCCGCCCGCCCTCT